GCAAAAGAAGGATCCCATCACTTCGAAAGACATGGAGAATGCTTTTGATTGGCTAGTTGAGAACCCTGGTACTGAGGAGGTCTTCCCTAGGGACGGTTTGACTTCGGAAATGGTTGAGGAGGCTTCGGATCCAGCTTTTAATTCTAGGAGGGCCACTCGAGCAACAACTGCTGCTGGCTTCACACTCATAAGGGGTGAGAAAGATAGAGGAGTAGGAGGCAGATTTAGAAGAAACTGAGGAAGAAGAGCAATATGTTGAATAGGATGACAATTATGATGAAGACGGCCTCGATTCCAATGCAGATGCAAGCGATTATGATGTTGTTCTGATTCTTAATGATGATGATTGGAGAAACGCAGATGTCCTCTCTTATTTTGTAGTTTTGTATTTCATCTTTATTACACCATCTTGATTTGGACTTTAAACCTTTCGGATGTTAGACTTTTTGCTTTTTTGGACTATTTCGTTGTTTGGATTTATACTTTTGTAAGTTTGTTGAAGATTTGGAGAGTTGGAGTTCATGTTAATATGCAATATGGGGAGTTGGAGACTATTACTAATACATAGCCTATTTGACTTATAACTTTTTTTAAATTCAGTATGATTTGAATTTTGAAATTTTGAACAGATTTATTCTTAATGTGTGATAATGTCATATGTTTGTATATAAAAAAGTATGTTACAATATATACATATGCATTAAATTAAAAAATTGACACAAATATATGCATATATGAGGTTCTAGATGCCAGCCTAAGTGTTGTGCGCTGGGCATCAGACGGGCCACCTACCTTTTTTGAAACCTTGGATAAGATAACCTATTCCAAATAAAATTAATTGACATCCAACGGGCCCTAGGTGTGTATGTCTGAAATCCTTCAGATATTCTACTCCATTCAACTTAGAGACCAAGGTGAGGAATGTGAAGTTTATCCCACTGTGGATGATTCCTCAATAATAAGAGTCAACAAGAAGGGACATTTGGGGCGTTGGGATATCAAAACTTATGGAATAGTGCTGAAGCCTTATCTTGATCCAAATCTGCAGCAGCTCTAAGGATCTATGTTCCAATGGACAGGCTTTCTAGCCACTCCCTGAGCAAGGTTAGAAGGGAAGATTGGCTATCCTAGGCCTCCAATTAACTTTCTGAGGCTCATGGGATATCCTAATTCCTTTTCTGGACAGAAGAAAGCATTTAACATTCTTTGACAGTTAGCGATCTTGTGAAAGAAGGTTGTGTTCTGGTCTCCTTTCCCAAGCATACCAAGAAATCTTCTCGTGCTTGAGGATGGCCTGATACACCACTTCAGTATGTATCCTCCTAGCCCTTTACTTTGAGCAGATCTCTAGATTCTTCAATTAAGTCTAGATCATTGATCATGTGAAGCAGGGCCTCCTTTCTTCCACGAAAGTTATCAGGAAGTTAACAGTTCCACTGTTATGATTGGGTTATGATTGGCCCTTCAGAAGTTGTAGAGTTCTATACGCAGTCTAAAACTAGCCCATCCTTGGATCATGAAGTGAGACCACAACTAAGGTATCAACCTGTAATTAAGCTCTATGTCATTGAGCCACATCGTCCTGAAATTGGAAAGGCTTTAGAACCGTTGAGGATAGTTTCAGTGTCTACAAGTATGGGTGATGCTTTGACACGAGTTTGTGGAATTTTCCTGAGTGAACACTTTGGACCTCCTCCTCCCATTCCCAGGAGATTAGGAATTTATCTATTTTTGTTAGGATCAAACTGGGTACATAGTTGAGCCAGGTGAAGAAGGACCCAAGGAGCGGGATATTGATCAGGGTGTTTCTATAAACAAAGTCTGTAAACCCTGCCATATTCGTTGTGATTTGTTCACTCATATTCCTCTTTGAAGATCATCTGATGATTTTGAAAATCGCCAACTATGCACCACGGGTGGGGGAGAGGGAGGCTACTTGGATAAGCTCTTTCCAGACCTCCTCCCTAAGGTTCAATCTATATGGGCCATGGATTGCAATGGCTTTCCAAATGAAGTCATAAATCATGGATAGGAAAATTAAGACCGAGTATGAGCCTCGATAGAACAAGGGTAAGACAAAAATAGTTGGGTCCCAAATGACCCATATTTCGAGAAATATGCTGTTGAACACACACACACACAAACACAAGACAGATTTTGGGCTAAGGAGTTAAAGGAAGGATGCATGGGGAAAGAGGGGGTGATCTGTGCATGAAACTCGAAATATGCTGGATAATCTTCGGTACCAATGTAACAGAAACTCAATTTTCACGTTGGTGGAGGCTCAATTCAACTTAATCGTGAACCCATGATTTGGATGACAACGATCTGGATCCCATTAACCAGGGATCTAGAGCCCTAATTTTGCAAATTGCGATCCTATATCCAAAAAATGTCTGGAATTGAGATCCCTGGAATCAAAAAAGGCACAGGATCGAGCTTTGGGAGATGGAGCAACTACCTTCTTTGGAGATCCCCGTACTATGGGTAGGCCAAAATGCTTCTCATAATGTATATAGGGTAGATTTTTTTAGTTATCTACTACCTTTACCTCTAGCTTTACACTTTGCAAAGGCACTTCTCTTAAAGTCCTCACTAATGTCACTGGCAAGACCGACATAGATGAAACCCAAAACCCGAAGTATGTGGTCAATTTTACCTTCCACTTTGACGATATTATCGATTTCATTAGAGTCCATTGGGAAAAAAGACTTTGCACGCGTTAAGAGTATCAAGATCATTGTTGACTCCCCCAATATCTCCCCAAGGGAGGGGGAGGATCCCAAAGGAAGGGGCAACAAGAGGGGAGTGGGATGCAGGTCTCCTTCATCAGTAACAAGGCTTGGGGTAGAGGGTGTCGGTTGGGTAGGGCAAATTCAAGGAAGAATAAGAAGGGTTTCACTGAAGCTTAAACACCTAGGGGTACAAGACATCAGAGGAAAGGGCATAGCTGAAAGGTTGCCTAGAACAGGCCAGGCCCTGTTATGTGGTATAATAGAGCACATAGAGGCTGAAGAACAGAGGGAGCAAAGAAGATAATTAAATAGGGAATGGGAGGTAATAGACAGACTAACACTAACAAATCTTAATCTCTCTTCCTACGAAATAGACAGTCCTGATTGTCCTGACCAAGAAGACCAAGCATGTGGATGATGTGGCCTCATATACAGGTGTCTCTCGGGTCCGGGAGAGAGGTAATCATTGTGGCTGCGTCTGATTCGTCGATTTGCTTCTGTCTATCTAGGCGGAACCAGTGACCTGCCATCCATTTATGGGCTGTGGCAGTGGTTAACTGTTGTGGGGTACATGGAAGCATCTTGGTCACTCATTTCTAAGTCGGTGGAGGGGATGTCTTGGGCAGGGCCAGATAAGCTGTTACTGAGCACATGGGACACACGTTCGGTGATCAACACCATTCATCCATCTGAGCAGGCCTGAAATGTCGACTGACGTGCTGGGCAATGGTGTGATCCAGGTTGGGGCAACTGTTATGGAACAAAAGACATCTAGGCCATTCAATGCTAAGGACATGACGGGTTCATCTCCAGGTTCGGACATAAAGCTGGCTTTGGCTTCTCAATCTTTGGAGTTAGGGGAAATCAACGGAGGTCAAGAGGAGAGAGATGAATCAAGGTTGAATAGAGAGAAAAGGACTGGAGTGACC